ATTTGTATATTGCTTTTCTGTTCATGATGTAGTTCCACTTATTTAACCATCTTACAGGCTTTTGGCTCAGATCATACATAGTATGCCCTGAATGCTAAATTGCATGGTTCTGGGTTATACATTGCCATGTCAACTATTTTGTCTTTCAAAAATATGACCCCTTGAGGGGAAAAAGGAATCCTCCTACACTGTTGGTGGGAATGTAAATTAATGCAACCATTCTGGAAAACAATTTGGAGGCTCCTCAAAAAAATAGAACTACCATATGATCTGACAATACCACTCTTGGCCATATATATGAAGGAATGTAAGTCAGGTTACGACAAAGACACTTGCATATCCATGTTTATTGCAGCATGATTCACAACAGCCAAGCCATGGAAATAGCCCAAATGCCCCACAACTGATAAATGGATTAAGAAAATGTGATATATACAATGATATATATATGCAATTATATATATACGTACACAATGGAAGTTTACTCAGTCATAAAGAAGAGTGAAATTTTTTCCTTTACAGGCAAATGGATGGAACTGGAGAACATCATCTTTAGATGAAGTTAGCCAGGCTTAGAAAGACAAAGGTCACATATTTTCTTTCATGTGGAAGATAGATCAAATACAAATACAAGCACTATCATATATACATACATACATACACACACATATATAAAACATGTTTTCAAAAGTGGGCCTGTTAGAGAGGACTAAGGGAGAAGGAAAAGAAAAGAGAGTGAGTAACAATGAAATACATTACATCTCTATAGGAACAAGACACAGTGAAAACTTGTAGGGGAAAAGGGTAAGGAAGATTAGTAGAGGGGGTTAGTCTGATTTAAGCACAATATATTTACAGGTAAAATACCAAAGCTAAGTCCCTACTGAACAATAGACATTTAAACAATGAAGGACAAAAATGTAAAATAGGTCATGTTAAGGGAGAGCACTAGTGAGATAGGGAGGGTAAATGAACAGGGTAAAGGAGTGTGAATATGGTTGGTGTACTTTCTACACAAGTATGAATATGGAACATGGAAACCTGTTGAAGTTAGTTTAAGAGGAGGAATGGTGTGGAGGGCGAATCAAACTGGAGTGGTAAAATATGTTTATATGGAAATGTCACAATGAAACCTTGTTTAACTATCATATACTAACAAAAGTGTTTAAAAACTGTCCTTCAAACTTGACAAGTTGGTAAAGAGGACAATGGCCTTATTCCTACTCTCAACTAGCTTACAATCCATTTTAATTTTCTTGTGCAGAAAAGGGGCAGTTCATAAAAGAAAATTTCCTTGAAAACCAGAAATTTTGGTAAAAGACATTTTTCTTAATCTAGTCCAGCAGTGGACGTCAGCATTTGACCAGGCGCCCGGTAAAAGCTACAATGAGAACTTGGACCCAAGAAAGTATGGCACTCTTGGTTACTGATTGAATGACCTTGGCAAGTAACCTAGCCTCTGCGAATCTGTTTTCTCATTTTCATTTTTTTTTTAACAGTTTACATAGTTTATTCAGAAAACAACAGTTGGATTGATACCAGTAATAAATACATTACAAGTAGCAGTATAAGGTTTTAAATGCTGTTTGGCCTTTTTGTTTGTTTGTTTTGTTTTGTTTGTTTTTTTACTAAACAGCATGCTGGTACCTAAAGAACCTAAATATCTCTCAAGTATTCCAGAATATTCCAGCACTAAATATAAACACAATATATTCCAAAACAAAAACTGTCTTTTTGGACTGTGATCTTCTTATTTTATGCTTCCTGCCATAGCTTGTTTCATAGATGGGTTCACAGGAACTTTTCTTCATGGTGGAGGCCTGGAATTGTGATCTTCCTGTACTCAGTTTTCTGCATTGCTGGGATGACAGGCACATGCAACTGTGAGCAGCTGATCTCAGCCTCCCAGGTAGTTAGGCCATCGGCACCCAGCCCAAAGACTGTTTTGAGCCACAGATTTACCCTTCATTTAGTACTACTAAATGAATAATACTATATACTAACAATACTAATACTGTAGTATTATAGGAACCTGTGTTCTAGGTTCTGGCATAGGAATTATATGGTGTTGAATAAGGAGGAAGAGTTTCCTTCTCTATTTCTAAATGTAAGACTGCTTCAGGTAACATTTCATAAGAAATGATGTTTGACTCTAGGGTCAGTACCCTTCTTGAGGGGCTTGCAGCCCTCCTGCTGCTTTAAGTCTCTATCTTGTATAGGGTCTTGCACAAAATACTTAGAGCTCTGAACTGGGCATCAGAAGGCTTTGGTTCTTGAGAGGTTTTACTATCAGATCAGCTCTGCCCTGTAGAACTTTCGATAGCAATGTTCTACATATCTGTATCATCTCACACATGGACCACTAAGTACATGTGGCTCTTGAATGTTCCAAATGTGGTTAATAATATGAAGAACTTTTACAGACACCTGTGACTGTTAGCTACATATTATTGGGCAGTACCTATTGCGGTATCCTAAATATTCTAACTACTGCTAGTTCTTTTATTTATTTAATTCATTTATTGTTGTGCTGGGTGGGGGAACATTGTGACATTTACAAAAGTTCTTACAATGTATCAAATATACTTGAATTCACCCCCTCTGCTGGTCTCCTTTATCTCCCCTCCCCTCATTCCTGGAATAGTTTCAACAGGTATCATCTCTGCATTTATATACATATGTAACAGTTTTTGCACCATATTCACCTTCCTAACCCCTTTCCCTGCCACCTTCCCCCCTCCCACTGGTACCAACCCCACCCTGGGCAGAACATTTTCTGTCCTCCTGTCTCTAATTTTGCACAAGAAAAAAGAAAAAAAATAGCATTTTTGCTTGTTTGAGAAAAAGGTAGCTACACAGGGAGTCTCCTTATAATATTTTTGTGTATATATGTATTATAACCCCAATTGGGTCATTGCCTTTATTTTTCTTCATTCTTCCTTACTCCCTTTCTTACGGGATAACAACTTTTCGATTCCGGTGTGCTGAGCCGAAACATGGTAAAATGTCTAGGTAACACGTGAGGCTGAGTGTGATTCTGGGTAGAGACAGTGGAAAAGGAGGCAAAGGGACCTCAGAGGTTGCAGCCCCGCCAGCCTCAGCTCTTTCAGCTTTCCCACGGCGGATACGTTCTCCTTTAATTGGAAAACAAGAGTTCGCTTTGGATGAGTTTTTCCCTCACTAACTGAAAATTGCCTTTCTCCAAGCTTCGTCCCCGCCCAGTTTGCAAACAACGAGTCAAGTTTTCCTAGGCCGCTGCGGGACAAGTAAGAGTGCAAACACTGCAGACTGGAGGAGGACAGGGCGGGCCGGGCGCCCCCCTCTCCCCAGCCGCTGAGGGATCGCTCCGCCCCTATCGACACGTTTACGGCCTTAGGGCGTGGCTTCCGGCCGCGAAGGCTTTCCGGTTGTCTCTCGCATTTCCTTCCTTCCTGGGCGGGACTTCCTCTTCATCACAGGCGCAGGGCTGCAGAAGTGGTTGGAGGTTCGGCCGCAGGGTCAGTCTGGTAGACTAGGGTTCATGTTCCTTGAAAGGGCAAACGAGAGGACGCTCTCTCGCGCTCCTCTTTCTTGCTTTTTTTCTCCTCGCGACGCCTCGATTTACTCGAACGCCCTGGACTTTTGGCACCAACGCCCACCTGAGGCTCTTCCGCTTCCTCTTTTCCCAGGCTCCGCCCTCAGCGTCCTGTGGCCATGACGACCACTCGGCGGGACTCCATGGTGTGGAAGCTCGCCGGGCTATTGCGGGAGTCCGGTGAGTGGACTTCCGATTAAGCTGGGCCTTAGGCGAGGTGGGAGTGCTCCCGACCTTCCGGAGGCACTTCCTGAGTCATAGAGATGCGACTGATAGGGTCACGAAGTGTCAGTTCACTAATTCCTTCTGTGTGTGTTCGCTCTAATGCTTTGCCTACGGTGCCCTTTGTATAGCACCAAGTATAGCTCCTTAGAGTTAAAAGCACGGGATTGCTTTTGGAGTCAGACCCACGTGAGTCGGAATCTCAACCTTCTTTCAAACTAGCCACATTGTTTTGAGTTTTCTGAGCCTCGATTTTCCTCACCGGCAGATGGGCATACTGAATGGACTCAAAAATTGTGGCAATTTTAATTTATATATTTAGTACAGTGTATGTACATACAGTAAGTGATCAAAATTAGTAGCTGTTGTTATTACAATTGCTTGGGCACTGTGAAGCCACAGGTTTTTTTTGGGGGGAGGGGCAGAGTCTTGCTGTGTTGGCCTCAAACTTGGAATCAATAGCAATTATCTTAGTGCTATAATGAATGGTTAGTCTTTCTACAGCATGCATTTTAGTATTGATTAAAAGTCTATAAAATTGTGTTATTTCTGCAGTCAGAAAAAGAAATTACAGATAAAGCATCCAGTTGATTTTTGTGTAAAAATGAGTGATCGCGGAAGGAAATTCAGTAGTATTACTTACTGAGAAGGCTTTCCGGGTGAGGTTGATCTCCAGCTGGGCAGTAGAAGGGAATATATCAGTAAATGTGAATGCTGTGAGCCAAGTTGGCTGTAGTTCCAGCACTGGGAGTAGATCAAGCTCTTTTGAGGAAAAGGTGAAAGAATTTGGAAAAGTGAGTTGATGCCTTGCATGGAAGTACTCTCATGTACTAGTCTGAACATTTGGAGTTTTATTTGAAGACTAGGGGATGGGGCAGATGTAGAAGATTTTCAAGCTGATGAGATAGGAAGCTTAATCCTGCTAAATAAGTAAATACATTGCAACATTCATACATATGTACATACATACCCCCCCAAAAAAAGAAAAGAAAAAGTTTGGTTTTGCAGTGGAAGATCCACAGTATGGATTTTAGTGGTTGTATTTTGTGGTCACAAAGTCCTAGAACAAAGAGAAAGACCTTTCATTATGTCCTTCTTCTCATCTGTCCTGTGCAGGGGACAGGGTCTTGTCTGGATGTAGCACATTGAGCCTGCTGACTGCCACATTGCAGCAACTGAACCGTGTCTTCGAGCTGTACCTGGGGCCATGGAGTCCTGGCCAGACAGGCTTTGTGGCTCTGCCTTCCCATCCCGTTGATTCATCTGTCATCCTCCAGCTTCAATTTCTTTTCGATGTGCTGCAGAAAACACCTTCACTCAAGGTTCTGGATGTGGAGATGGGACAGGCTATGCAGAGAGCCCAAGGGAATGATGAAGGCTAGGGGTGCAAGCAGCCGGCAGGGCTGAGAAGCAGACAGTGTTGGAGAACAGGTGGTTGTGCTGAGGAAGGGTGCTTAGAAAAGGGAGACTGCTGCGCCTTAGTAACTTGAATATTTCTTTTTCAGCTGCTTCACATTCCTGGTCCTGGCCTCCCAGGACCCATCAAGATTTTTCCCTTCAAGTCCCTTCGGCAGCTGGAGGTATGGAGGTGTTGGAACATGGTGGTGCACAAAACCCAACTTGAAGCAGCCATTTGGGGATGGGGACAGAAAGATGACTCTTTTGGTGGGGAAGGAGGCTTGAGTATGCCACTGTCTGTAGTAATATGGTGCGCACTCGCTCTCTGGGGTAATGCGGTGCACACTCGCTCTCTATGGTAATGTAGTGTGCACTGTCTTCCCATTAGATGCTTCCCTGAGCCATGAGCCTCACTTTGCCATCTTTTCCTTGCTCCCTGCCAGGGGAGATAGGGCTGAGGTCCTTGTCTTCCAGGAAGCTCTGCTTTCTTCCTTCCCTTTCTTACCTGCACTAGCTCCGAGGTGTCCCTCTTCACTGCCTACATGGCCTCCGAGGCATCTACTCCCAGCTGGAGACTCTGATTTGCAGCAGGAGCATCCAGGCACTAGAGGTAAGGAGGGTGGGCCCTGATGCCTTATCCTAAGAAACACAGGAGACCAAGCTCTATTGTATGCCCTCCTGCCCCTGTGACTCCTCAGCTCTTTGTACCTGTTTGTGTATTTACTGTCACACCTGCCATACTGTATTAAATATTCTGGTATCTGCCTTGCTGCTCTCTCCACAGTGCACTCCTTGGGGACAGGGACCTAGGCTTTCTTTAAGGCTGCATCTCCAGATGGAGCCTGGTATATAAAGGATGAATGAATGACTGGATGATAGAGCATGGCGTGGGGAGGAGGGTGAGAGTGGAGTAATGAAGTACCTGTCCCCTTCCCAGGAGCTCCTCTCAGTCTGCGGTGGTGACCTCTGTTCTGCCCTCCCCTGGCTGGCTTTGCTTTCTGCCAATTTTAGTTACAATGCACTGACTGCCTTAGACAGCTCATTGGTAAGTGCGCTAGAGTGGGAAAGGACAAGGATGAGTTTAGGGAGGAGGGCCAGTTGGCTGACAGGTGTCCCTGTATGAAGACCGGTTATCTGTTTCTCCTTCCTGTCCTTCTCAGCGTCTCTTGTCAGTTCTGCGCTTCTTGAACCTGAGCCATAATCAACTTCAGGACTGCAAAGGCTTCCTGATGGTAAGTGTGAGCAGCCCTCCCTGATGGTAAGTGTGAGCAGCCCCTGCCTGTTGCACTTGGGCCTTGGGTGGCTCTGCTCTCACCCTTCCTCTTGGGTCCATTTGTTTTCCACCTTGCTCTCGCCCCTGGTGGAGCCACATCCCGGGAGCCAGTTCTGTTTGCAGGATTGGCTGTGGCATAAGATAAGGCAGAGTTCCAGTCTCATCATCTAAACCTGTGTGACTTGGGGCAAATGAATGGGCTTCTTGGTTTGTTCACCTGTGATGTACAAATCATCGGAGTTCCTGCTTTTGTTTATCACAGTGGTTGTGAAGAGTATCCGGTGTTAGTTATTCTCATGCCTAGCTCAGAAAGTAAATTTTGTGATAGTGACAAATCTTTCTCCCATATCTTTCCATCTTCTGTCAAAGATAAACAAAGCTGGGCACTCATTAAATTGATAAGGACAGGTTTTAATTAGTACTAAACTGTTGCAATAGGGAAGAGGGTTTGATGTGACCTGAACTCTGCTTTGACTTGTACCAAGGTGACTGGCATTTTAAATGGAGAAAGAAGGAGTAAGGCTTGGGGTGGGGGTGTGGGTTTAAGCACCTGTCAGGGAGGTGGAACTTTATAAAAAAAATAGAGAGTGTTGTGTTGGTCCATGAGAAAGCTATGTGGCACTAACTAACTAACTGGAGCTTACTGAAGTTGGGTCCGTTTCCTCCTGCAGAGACTGGGAGACCAGCCCTACTTTCATGTGTTGGCTGGAACAAATGTAAATTCTTTTGGTAGCCTTGGTTTTCCCAGGAGTCTTGCATTTTCCCAGGCAGGAACTTCAGGGGTTTGGAGTTAGTGTCTCAGGGTGCAACCTTGAGCTGTTGGGAACTATGCTAGTGTTTGTTCAAGTCTTTTAATGTGGGGGGTGGGGGTAGATGAGGTCATTTGTGCTGAGAGTCTGCAGTTTTTATAGGCCAAGGTGGAGTCAAGAAGAGAGCTCAGAGGACCCTGACTAAAGCTTGGTCAAGGTGAGAATCTTTGTCCTCCTCACCCCGCTGCCAGGATTTGTCTGAGCTTTACCATTTGGACATCTCCTATAACCGTCTGCACTTGGTGCCAAGAATGGGACCTTCGGGGGCTGCTTTGGGGATCTTGATATTGAGAAGCAATGAGCTTCGGAGCCTGCAAGGTGAGTGGGACATGTTGGGGGCAGATGTGGAAGGGAACTGGGGGAGTATGAGATTCAGGGTGGCTCTGGGGACCATGTGCCTCTAGAGCTTCTTGAGGGCTTATAGACAGGGCTGAGGTGCTCTGATTTGTCTTTCACCCCTTCCCTCAGCATACACACTACCACATCACTTCACACCCACAAACTCACCCACATGCCCCTCTTCTTTTCTCTTCTCTACCCCAGGTCTAGAACAGTTGAGGAAATTGCAGCATCTGGATGTGGCCTACAACCTGCTGGAAGGACACAAGGAACTGTGGCCGCTGTGGCTGCTGACTGAGCTCCGCAAGGTGCTTTAGGGTTCTGGGAGCCACCTTCAAGTCTGGCCCTCCTGTGCCAGAGGTCAGTGCCTTCTTCACACAGGGAGGATCCCAAGCCCACCTCATTCTCCTCTTCCTGCCACTCAGCTCTACCTGGAGGGAAATCCTTTGTGGTTCCACCCTGAGCACCGTGTGGCCACTGCCCAGTACTTGTCACCTCGGGCCAGGGATGCTGCCCGTGGCGTGAGTGATCGTTTTGTATCTACTTGCTTTCCCTTTTCTCCCCAGTCTTACCCAATCCCTGCACCCTCTTGCCATTTCTGGGTGAGGGGCCAAAGACCCAGGCCCCCTACTGTGTTAGTACAGGAACTCACTGGGCTCCACCGTGAACACGGCCCTCTCCTCTTTTGTCTCTGTGCAGTTCCTTCTTGACGGCAAAGTCTTGTCACTGAAGGAACTTCAGGTCAGTGTGTTGGGAGCAGGATGGTAAAAACTGGTGAGAGATGAAATGAAGGGAAGGTACTGACTGAGGAGACAGGTGGTTGGGAAAGGTCTCTGTAGTCAGTGGAAAGTATGGACTACTCTTGGCTAACTTAGGCAGGGCAGAGCTGCTCTTCTGGCTGACTTCTTCTTTCTCTTGTCACATACCAGACTCCCGCATCCTCGGGTTCTGGTCCCATGGTCCCACCTGTGCCCTGGACAGTAGGGAGTACCTCTGAAACCTCAGGTGGACCTGAGCTGAGTGACAGCCTCTCCTCTGGGGGTGTTGTAGCCCAAGCTCCGCTTCGTAAGGTTAAGGTAAGTGGTGTTCTCTGCTGTTTGTTCCTGGGGTTGTTCTCTTTGTAGGGGCTCTGGGATCTTGATGGACTTGCACTTTTTTGTTAGGTTGGGTGGCTGGGCAGGGATGATAGGGCTGAAGGCCCTGTCTTTTTAGAACTTTGTCTCTCTCTCTAACTCAGAGCAGAGTTCGTGTGAGGCGGGCAAGCATCTCTGAGCCCAGTGATACAGACCCAGAGCCCCGAACTCTGGATCCCTCCCCAGCTGGTAAATCCACCCCACTCACCCACTCCTCCCACCCTTCTCCAGAGCTTTCTAATCTTGACATTATTGTGCAGGTCTAGGAGGGGAAATTTGACTTCTGGTGGCATGTGCATTATACAGGTTGTCCGTCCTTTTAGTTAGGGAAAGGAGAAGGATCTGCCGACAGGAAGCATTTTCCAGAGCTTTTCAAGAAACATTAACTTTGTGGGTGTTAAGACATTGTACAATAAAAGCATTTTGTGGCTACTAAGTCAGAGAAATGCAAGGTTAAACCAAATTAAATAGGTTTCTTCCCTGCAGGCCACCTTAGGGCCTTAGATGTGTGACCATGTTTTGTAACTCTCCAAAACCAGTTCTTGACGTGTGGTTCTGGATTGCATGTGACCACAGCATTCTATAGGCCACACTTAGGGACATGCTGCTGAGAGAGGTCTGTAGTCCCCTCCCTTTGTTTCCCAAGGCACAGAGCAGCCAAAGAAAGAGGCTGGTGCTGTCTAGGGTGGGGGTAGGACCTTATTAGCTCTCTGTTCTCCACCCCTCTAGAATGGTTTGTGCAACAACATCGTGAGCTTGAGCTCCTGAACAGCTTCCGGGAGCGATTTGGCTGTGATTGGCTGCAGTATAGGAACCACCTGGAGACCTCAGGGACCTCCCCTCTGGCCACCTCTAAGATGCCTGCCCTTAGCATCCCTCCTCTGGATGCTGTGGGCCTAAAGAGTCCCCCCAGCCCTCTGGCTCCAGAGAACGAAGCTGGAGGCCCCGAGGAGTCACCACAGAAGGTGTCAGAGGACAGGGGGGACCTGGAGCATCAGGAAGAACAGGAGAGGGAGGAACAAGAAAAAGAAGAGGAAGCAAAGGAGAGGCAGGAGGATGAAGAGGAACGGGAGCAGAAGGAAGTGGAAGGTAAATACCCCGTGTCCATGGGGAGACCTGGGGCTAACCCAAGTGATGTTCCAATGTCAGGGAGATTCTGGAAAGGCCAGGCTGATGGAGGGCAGAGTCTCTAGGTACTTTTCCCTCCTCTAGGCCTCTTTTCTTGGTCTCTCCATAGCGGAGCTGTGTCGGCCCATGTTGGTGTGTCCCCTGCAGGGGCTTGAGGGCATGCGAGGCCGAGAATGCTTTCTCCGGGTCACTTCTACCCACTTGTTTGAGGTGGAGCTCCAAGCAGCTCGAACCCTGGAGCGACTGGAGCTACAGAGTCTGGTGGCCGTTGAGCTAGAGCCTGAGACCCAAACCCAGGGGGAACCAGTACTTGAGGTGAGGGTGGGGTTGGGATTTTGGAAGAAGACTGTACCAGGCACCTGACTGGGTATTGTCCACCCTCTCTCAGGGCACTTGGAGCTCAGGAGGGATGCTCTGGGGGTGTGGACGGTGGTGCAGGGTGGCTTGGGATGCCAGGCCGAGGAGTAGATTTCATGCTAGGCATTTGAATGGGGTCCAGAGTTACCATTTTTCTCTGTGCTCAGTGTTAACCCTAATCCTCTCTGCCCCTGCTGTTTTTCCTCTGTTCCTCTCTTTCTGTGCAGAGTTCAGATCTCCCAGGGGCTCCCATCCTTGTGCTGCGCTTTTCCTACATCTGCTCTGACCGGCGGCTGCGTCGCTATGTGGTGCTGGAGCCTGATGCCCATGCAGCCATCCAGGTGATGGGGCCCAGGAGGCTGAGGGGAGAGCTGGAGGGAGCAGCTCCAGGCTGGAGGGCCAGGGGTCTGTCAGGCGAGTCCATCTGGGGATCTTCCTGCTCACGGTTGTCTTCTGACTGCCTTTTTTCAGGAGCTACTTGCTGTGCTGACCCCATTTACCACTGTGGAACAGTGGCACCTTGGGCAGGCCAGGGAGCTGCTGGGGGGCAGATTCCAGTGTCTGCGTTGTGGCTGTGAGTTCAAACCAGAGGAGCCCAGGTTGGGATTGGACAGTGAGAAAGGCAAAATGCCTCTGTTCCAAATGACAGGTACCAGACTTGCCTTCAATCTCCCCTCCACACAGCTCCCTCAGTACAGGGAAAGTGACTTTAAGTGGGGGAGTGTGACAGACAAGCCCTTGGGTGGAAGGCCTAGGGGAGTGGGACCAATTGTCCTATAGGGAGGAGACATAAAACTGCCTGATTGCTACATTACAAAACAAAGGAAACCGCATCTGGGTTTTTCTCATCTCAAAGTCAGGAAATGTCATTCTGTAACTGTGTTTAAACATACTTGTTTTTTCAAAACTTGAATGCTTTTGGGTGTTTTGGGCTAATATTTCAGGAATGGCATAAAACGTAGCAAGTACTTGCTGCAGTGTTGGGTTGTCATGCTTCCCTCTGCATATAGCGGCTATTGAGTAAGACACTTTGGGGTTTGGCGTAGTTTGTCCTTCCTTGATTGACCTTGTAAGCTACTTGATAGCAAATAGCGCCTTGTGGCATCTTTTCATATTTTGCTTTTTAAGAAATTTTTCCATTATCGACCAATCAAAAAGCAAGATCTTTGAAGAAGATATTGAAAAGGAAAGGAATATGCTCCATACAGCTGTGTTGAAACACATGATTTTTATCAGTGACTTTTCTCTTTTTTGGCACCAGCTGCAGCAGGGCTCTAAATTTTTTTTCCAGAAAATAGAGCCCCACTCCATTGCCCCCTCTCTGAGCCTGCCTCAGGGGGCTGCAACCCTGCAGGCCCAGCAGCACCTGTGCAGTGGAAACAGGCTCCCCCTGCTCCTGGACTCGGGCTGTACTCCATAAGTCCTGTAGTTTTTGGCATCTTTCCTATGGTGGCATTATTAATGCACATTACCATGTGCTGCAGTCTCTTTTGAGCCATCTGAACAAAGTAGAAAATGAAGCCCCCTCATGGTACTCTATTAGATTTAAATGTGACTATTAAGGCCCCGCATAGCACCTGGCACAAAACTAAGGCTCCCCATTTATACTTGCTATTGTTGTTATTCCCAGCTATATGGTCTTGGGCAGGGCATGTAAATTATTTTTTCCTTTCTTCATTTGCGAAATGGGATAGGGAGAGAGTTTTGGTGGGGCTGAAATGTGATTTTTTTTTTTTGCAATACTGAGGTTTGAACTCAGGGCCTCACACTCGCTAGGCAGGGGCTCTACCACTTGAATCACACCCCCAGCCAAAATGTGATAGTATTGACATGAGAGTTAGCACATGCCCAGCACATTGTAGCTGCGCAGAGTCTCTTCTCTCATTGTTGACCCATGTTCTGCATTCTTTATCTGCTTCCATTCAGCCATCCTGCCAACCCTCTAAGATAAACACTCATCCCCATCTTATAGATAGGAGTCAGGCTCAGAGAGCACAGATGATTGGCCTATGATTATAGAGCCACTAATTGACAGAGCCTGGAGTTGGACCCAGATCTGGCACCAGGTGCCTCCCTACCTTTCCCAATCTGTTACTGGTAGAGATTGACCAGCTCAAGGGCATGGGAGGGGACCAGAGCAGGGCCTGGTTGTGTTAGACCCAATCTGAGAGGGTCTGGGATTACAAGGTGGGACATATTTTGACTATGGACATGGGTTAGTTTAGCTCCCACTGGGATAGAGAGAGATCTGTGCCTGGAGAGGGAAATAAGGGGTTAGGGGAATGGTGGTCATGTATGAAGCTAGAGGTGTAGGGCCAGGATAGGTCCAAGAGCAATATGAATGTGGTGGGGGTGTGCTGTGTTGGGGAGGCTCACAGATCCTGTGTGTCTACTTCCCCAGAATCTCCTGCTGTGTGCCCAAACTGTGGGAGTGACCATGTGGTTCTCCTGGCTCTGTCTGGGGAACCCTTCAATAGGGAGCAGAACCAGGGAGAGCAGTTACAAACTCCCGCCCAGTCCCCCAGCTCTGTCTGTGACTGTCCTGGCCACAGTAACCAGCTCAACAAGGCTGATAGCATCCCACCTCAAGTATCCATCTCCCATGGCGACAGCAGTTGGAGCCTCAGTCCCCGTGAGTATGGGCAAAACAAGATGGGGGTGGGCTTGGGGAGTGATGGACATGTATGGAAGGTAGAGATGGAGCCATGGGCTGCCACCGCCAGGCTGATGGCCTATCTGTTATCTCCAGCCCCTGAGCCCTGTGGCCTCCGCTCTGTGGACCATCGACTCCGGCTCTTTCTGGATGTTGAGGTGTTCACTGATGCCCAGGAAGAGTTCCAGTGCTGCATCAAAGTCTGTTGCTTGGCACTACCCTCCTTGATCAGGGTGCCCACTGTCCACTCAAGTAGCTAGAGTCAGGTTGAGCTCTTGGGAACCACCAAATCTGGCTTCTGGTTTCAATTACAAGTTACTAGCTGTGTGGCTTTGGCCACATTCCTTGGTACTTGAGTCTCAGTTGTCCCTAGCACAATGGAGATAATACTTCATACCTTACAGAGTGTGGAAGCTGAGCTCTAACATTGTAAGCTGCTTAGCACAGCACGGCACCTGGCAGTTAGTAAATGGGGCCCCCTATCATTATGCACACACAATGTCACTAGACCCTCTGTTGAGCACCTGATGTGTGTGAGTCACTAAAGTTAAATCAGTCTGTCTTGTCCTCAATCTTAAGAGTCTGATATAGGAAACTGAGAAGATCATGCAATGTGAAAATGCTGTGATCAGGGTAAAATGTCCTAGAAGGGTGGCTAATCTAGCCTGAGTGAGTCAAGAATCCTTCCTGGTAGGTGATGCCTAAATCTAGTCTTGAAGGATGAGGAAGGAGTAGGAAGGGAAAGGATGCTGTAGGTGAATGAAGCAACAAGTGCATGGAGGTGAGAGAGTAGCTAGTGGGGAGAAGTACCTGGATGGGGCAACCTGTCTAAGGTGAGTCTGAGATACAGGCAGGGGCTGGTTCAGGAATTGCCTGGAGTGTCTGCCAAGAAGTTTGGATGGGACCCAGGGCCACTGGGAGCTATCAGAGGGTTTGGAGCAGAGGAATGGCCAGGGCCACTGGGAGCTATCAGAGGGTTTGGAGCAGAGGAATGGCGACTAGTTTTGTTATTTATGATTGTCCATTTGGCAGAGTGTGGAGCGTGGGTTAGAGGACGTGAGAGGATAGTCAGGGAGACAAGCTGAGACATGCTGGGATTTGAGTGTGGACAGGGCCTCAGGAAGAGAGTAGTATAATGGTAGGAGGAGAGGCTGTTAAGCTTGACACTGATGATTGGCAGTGGGGAGGGCAACTCAGCTTTCCATTTGGCTCCCCCACCTCCTTGGTTCTCTTTTCTGGTTTCTGTTTAACTTCCTCTTCCCCTTAGGTGCCAGCAGTGTTGGCAGGCCACACAGGGGAAGTTCTGTGTCTTGTGGTTGTGTCCGATCACAGCCTTTACCTGTTGAAGGTGATGGGAGCGATCTGGTGAGTAAGATAGGCATGTGGCCAGGGTAGTGTCAGACTTCCCTTCTTTCTCATCCTGTCCTTTTCTTATGTTTGGTTCCTCTCTCCCATCCACAGTGGGCCTCCAGCCAGCTGGCTCCAGCCCACCCTAGCCATTCCCCTGCAGGATCTGAGTGTCATGGAGCTTGGCCTGGCAGGCCAAAGCCTGAGATTGGAGTGGGCAGCTGGTGTGGGTAGCTGTGTACTGTTGCCCCGAGATGCCAGGCGGTGTCGGGCTTTCCTTGAGGAGCTTGTTGGTGAGGAGGAGGCAGAGAGGGTGGGGCAGGGAGACTGGGGGATCAAGGGCCAGCTTCTGAGGTTGATGCCCAGCAGTGGAAACGGGATCACAGGGCTCATAGATGTAGAGGTTTCTGAAGTCTAAAATTGGGAAAATGGGAAGGATTGAGAGGTGGAGAGGTTGGGATAGAAGAGAACAGAGCCCCCTGAGGGTTCCTGTCCCTGGCTGGCTCTGTCTAGGTGTCTTGCAATCTCTGCCCCCAACCCGGAAGAACTGCATCCGTACCACGGAGGAGGAGGTGACCTCGCAGCATCGGCTCTGGTTAGTTGACAGGAGGTCAAGGTGCAGTTGGTACCTAGGTCCTCTTTCTATAGAGTGCAGACATGGTCCTGGGCTGATCAGGCCCTGGGCTTGCTGCCCATCCACATGGCCATGCCCCTCCCCCCGCTCCCTCCCTCCAAGCCCTTCCTCTCCTGGCTGACCCGCTTCCTGTGCATGTCATACCTCTCCAGGCCATTGCTGGAAAAAGATACTTCCTCGGAACCTCCCCAGTTCTTCTACCTTCGGGTGTTTCTTGTCGAAGGTGAGACCTTTGCTGTTAGATGTTCCCTGATTTCTGTACCCCAATTTGACCCAAGCCACTGGCCAGCCCCCCTAGCACTTCCCCAGTGCCCTGGTAGCAACTCTTGGTTCCTAGAATCTGGACTCCTTGCCCTCCAGGCATCCCCATGACACTGCCTCTCCAGGTGGCATCAGGACGCACCCTGGTCCTCAGCTGCCCAGAGACCTTTGCTTTGGGGTGCAGGTGTCCCTGAAGTAGTGGTTTGGCTGAGTCTGCTCCCCTCATTCCATTAGAGGTGGAATGGGTCCTGATTTGGGGTGGCTGATGGATGGACTCCTTTAGTGTGGGTTCTTAGAGGTTTTGGAGACTAGAGATTCCTGGAGTCTGGGGAAGGGAGGGCCTTGGTTCCCAGGGGCACAGGCTGTCTTCTCTCCTTTGAGGGCTCCACACCTCTTCTCCAGAGAGGGCCCCTAGAATCCAGGCCCTCCATGACCGTCCACTCTGCCTCTTTCCCTCCAGGCGCCTCTACCTGCCCCATATCCTTGTTGCTGACTCTATCCACACTGTACCTGTTAGATGAGGATCTTGCAGGGTCCCAGGCAGAGCCCCTGCTCCTGGAAGCATCTGGCAGAACCTCTGAGCAGGCTTCTCTTCTGGGGCCAAGGCCTTCCTTGCGAGTCAGGGAGCAGCAGCCACTCAGCAGTCTGAGCTCGGTGCTGCTCTATCGCACAGCCCCTGAGGACCTGAGGCTGGTCTTCTATGACGAGGTGTGTGAGCGCATGTGGGGAGGAGTGGTGAGCAATGAGGGCAGTATGGAAACTGGTCTAGGAAGACTCGGGATTGGGAGCAGGACAGAGCTGGGGAATGGGCAGGCATGGTGGAAGGAACATAGGATTGGGGTGTGAGGACCTGGGTTTTGGATGAGCAACTCATAGAACAAGAGGCAGTGGTCAGCAGTGGGAACACCTTGGCCTTGGAGCCCAGCCACTTCCTAGCTGGGAGGCCTATGGTGAGGCACTGGCTGCTGTGAGTTTGTGTGGTATGCCTGCTGTGTCAGCCATTTGACCATTTGACCTTCACAACCACAGCATGGGGGAAGGGCTTTTTCTGGTCCTGTTTTACAGAGGAGAAAACTGAGGCTTGGAGATGTTAACCAAGACATTAACTTCCCCAAGTGACAAGTGGTAGAGTCAGGAGCTAAACCCATGTTGTTCCTTGAAGTTGACTCCGATAGGGAAGATTAGAGGCGAGATGGGGTGTGTGAGCCCTCTGAAGGCTTGTAGTCAGTGCCCATTGGACTCTGTCTATATGGCTTAGGGTTGCATCTTTTATGAGGAGGGATACAGGCTTGGGAAGGGGAAGAGATGAGTCAAGAAGGGTGGTGAGTCCTCCCCTGAGTCCTCTCCTGCCCTTACCCTGGAGTGGCCCCTGCATGTTTCACCTTGCTAATTGCTCTGGTCTGCAGGTATCTCGGCTGGAGAGTTTCTGGGCACTCCGCGTTGTATGCGGAGAGCAGCTGACAGCCCTGCTGGCCTGGATCCAGGTGCCCTGGGAGGAGTTATTTTCCATTGAACTCCGGATTATCACCCAGGAGGCTCTAGACTTTGACTGATGAGACTTCCATGCTGACCCCAGCCCTGACTCAGGAACCATACTGCAGATGCTCTCTCTCCCTCTAGGTCTGGCTTTCAGACTGACTGTAGACTTTTCCAGTCTTTGGTCACCGGCTAATGAGGCCCCAAGTGACCTACAGCCTAAAGGAAGGGTGACTGTTCAGGCCCCTGGATGATCTGGCCGAAGAGGATAGGCTAAGTCAGTGAGAATTTTTTCTTTGAACTTTTTCTCAGGTATCAATAAAGTTGTTTCCATTTCATGTGTCATGGGTGGTACTTAATGCATTACTCCTAAGGCCTGCTATTTCTCTAACTTCTTCCTTATTGGGAAGCCTTAGCGGCCTTGTTTGTACTGTGAGACCCCTTTCCTACCTCTACTCTGGCCAAGTTGGACTCTTGACCCATGGGCACCCCCCAGTCCTCCAGTTGTTAGTGACCTGTGACATGGCCAGGCAGGAATCACTGCCAATAGCTAGGTTGTGGTGGCTCACGCCTATAATTCTAACTACTCAGGAGGCAGAAATGAGGAGGATCCTGCTTCTAAGCTAGCCTGGGCAAATTGTTGAGAGACTGTATCGAAAATACCCAGCACAGGGCTAGCAGAGTGGCTCAAGTGGTAGAGTGCCTGCCTTGAAGCGTGATGACCTCAGACCATTGCACAGGGTGTTTGGGAGAGGGCATGTAGAGTTGGCTGTTGAGGGAGGGGTTGGCATCTGGAGCTTTCTGCACTTACAATCTTCTCATAGTATTGCTTCAACCAGCCCAGTGTCTTCGATGAGTTGACTCCACTCCTTCTCTGTGTCTATGTCTGGCCTCAGTGATGGGTTCAAGAATGCTCATGTGACCTGGTGTGGCGAGTCCCACCCCTGGCCTTTGGCTGGAGCAGCCAACATAGAGCCAGGTTTTCTCCCTGAGAGTTGCTGAGAGGACAAACTGGTGCTGCTGACCATAGGGGAGAACTTTCTTGAAGGTGGAGCCATGGCAGAGAGGAAGATGGTACCCGAGGTGGGGAGAGTAGACTGAATCCCGGTGATGTCTTTGGGGGCCCCAAGTCCAATTATTCCTGAAGAGAGAAATCCCTATAATTTTAGTTCATGTGTGCTAAAGGAAACCCTCTCTCTTTTTGGCTTAAGCTTATGTGAATCAAGTGTGAGCTGCTGAAGGGGTCTTATCTGTACAAACTCTTAACTCTAATTTGAGCCAGAGTGTGTGGGGATCTCTTTCTTGCACCTAAGGATGCAAGAATAGTGCATCCTTGGGAATGTACTTGGGACCAGTGACACTGTGGATTTGTGTAGAGAGGCCCTAGTTCTTGGCTCCTATTCCTGAATGAGGCAGTGTGATTAATCCAGCTGACTGTGTTAGGCCACCAACCTAAAGCCTTGACCAGTTTGTGGCCTGACTGGTAGGACAGCAGGACTGGGCTTGTGTCACAATTGGATCCTTCTACCTGGAACCCTGGCCTGACCATCTCTGTTTCCTTGAGGTTGAAGTATTTAAAAATTAACAGGGGACCTTTTATTTTTTTTTAATTTATTTTTTTGACGAGTTTTAAAATTTAATGAAATAAAGTGTAATCATGCACTAGTTCATGATTTTGTGTTATATTAAAGAACTATATGCCAAAAACAAGGAGTTGAGGATTTTTCTCCTGTTTCTTCTTGAGATTTTTGCTCTTTTTTTTTTAATTTTATTTATTTTTTTATTATTTTATTCATATGTGCATACAAGGCTTGGGTCATTTACAGGGGACCTTTTAAATGCTCTTATTTTTAAATGTATTTGAAGTGAAGAGTGGCTCAAATGGTGGAGTTCCTGCCTTGCAAGCATGAGGCCTTGAGTTCAAAGTCCCAGGACTGCCAAGAAAAAAGTGTTTTCATTGTTTATCCCCTAAGTCCCCTCTAAAGTCAAGCATTGTCACCCATTTTTCCTGTATCTGTTCAGAAATGTCAATGCACATATACTCATATGTACACTTCTCTCCAAGAAAAGAGTAGCTAAGCCACTCAACTCCCTAAGACGAGATGGATTCCTAATAGTAACTTATTTCTCCCCAGGCAGTATTTTGGTCTGGTCTGACAGAAGAGTTGAGGGGAAATGCTGTGAGTCTTGGAACCGGATAGTGGGAGATGTTTGCTGGAGTAGAGGTCCCTGGATAACAGGCCTGAAGAGGGCAGGGGTCCCAGAAAGTCCTATGTAGAGGCTCAGAAAATAAATTCACCTACTTCTCTTTTGCTGAGAGCTGCCCTGAATTTTTAATTGAAGCAAATTAAGATGTCCCCAAAATATTATTTTCTCAGTGACTTTGCACCATTTGTGAACAGAAGCCAGTACTGACTTGAAGGCCTTCTTAGCCTCTGGCCCAAAGCTTCCCTTCACCATGTACTCCTTAGTAAGTACATCCCAGAAACTGGGAGGTCATGGTTCAGAAGGGACAGGACAGTCTCCAGTCATTTAGGGTGACGTGCAAAGAAGTTTGAGGCTAGAGAGTCAATTCTTTATGCTTCAGTCTCTTGAGAACATCCTGGTTTTCTACAGTACAACAGCTCTCTACAGCCTTTGTGCCAAGGTGCTCTGTCTTTGGTGACTCAGAAGACAGAGGTATTATCTGGGATGAGGCCATTACCACTCTGGGAGGTATTCCTTAAGCTTTGTACCTCATCAGGAGCAGGCCTTGGTG